ATCAGGAATGAGACATGTATGCCCACTATAATCACTTCTAAAGAACAACCATAATCAATTCCATTGAACATAGACGTAAAAGTATGCCAGCATATTAAGACCAGAAAAAAAAAATTTAAAGGGAAAATAATTGAAAGAACCAAAAGTGTCAGTATTTGCAATGACATAATTATTCACACAGAGAATCACTGAAACTATATTAGAAATAATAAGAGTTTATCAAGTGATGGCTAAACGTTAATATAAAAAATCCATTAAATTTCTATTTGCTAACAATAAAGTCAGAAAATAGAATCTTAAAAAATAATACCATTTATAAAACCAACAAAACTACTAGAAACATCAGAATCAATCTTTTAAAAGTGTTAGAACTGTATGGAGAAAATTACAAAACTACATTAAAAGGCATTGAAAACCTGAATAAATGGAAATACATACCATGTTCTCAGACAGGAAGGCTCGAAATTTTAAAGATTTCAATTCTCCCTCAAATTGATTCAATAATTCCAATTAATTCCCAAAGAATTTTTCACATCACTTGACAAGTTGATTCTTAAAACAAGAACAAAGGTCCAAGAACAGCTGAGACTCAAGACCCCTTGCCCCAAATAACAAGATTTCTGGTAAAGCCATAGGATTAATAATTATCACAGTGTGGTATAACACAGAGATAGTGAAGCAGACAAGTGGCACAGAAAGGGGAGTCAGAAACAAACCCATGCTGGTGAACAGAGGGCCAATTCCATGCATGGTAGGAGGACAGCTGTAGCCACATGGAGGAAAAAAATGAATGTGGATCACTGCCTCACACCGTACACAAAAATCAATACCAGATGAATTATGAATTTAAATGTGAAAGACATCATTTTAAAATTTCTAAAGAGAAACTCAAGAGAATGTCTTTGTAATTCCAAGGCCAGGTAAAGCTTCCAATTAGATTACATTAAAATTAAGAACTTCTGTTCACCAAAACACACCATAAAGAGTAAAAAGACAAGCCATGAATTGGAAGAAGATATTTACAACGCATATAATCAACAAAGGATCAGTGTTACCAGTTTATTAGTTTTAAAAGACAACCCAAGAGAAAAATGGGTAAAAGATATGACCAGGTTATTCACAAAAGGGAAAACAGTTCATAAACATATGAAAAGATGCTCAAACTCATTAACAAAGAAATGCGAATTAAAATCACAGACACATCATTTCATACCCATTTGATTGGCAAATATTAAGAAATCTGATGATAATAGGTGTTGGAGTAGATATAGATCAACTATAACTCTTATACACCGCTTATCAAAGTATATAAAAATTGACAAAACTGCTGGCCAAAGTACAAGGTGGTACAACCACTTCAGAAAACAATTCGGTAAAGCTGAACATTCATACCCCATAATCCAGCAATTTGACTTCTAGCAAATAGCTTACCACAGTAGTATTCCAACCATTTTTTACTCACAAACCACTAAAAATTGTTTGAAAGCATTTTCACACTAAGATGACATCTAAAAGTGTTCAGCCCAAGTTTAAATAATCGCAAATGATGAATTCTTGTGACTTAAAAATAAAACTGACATATCATTGGTTTAAACTGTTATAATTATTATAGCATAGGATTTATCAAAAATAACTATATACACTGATAATTAAACATAAAATGTGAAATTGTATTGCAAATGCAGCTCTTGAGATGAGAAGTACCTGGATTAGAAAAGGCTTTCTCTAACACTATATATATGTGTGTGTATATATATATATATATATACACACTGGATTTTAAATTATCTGTCTTCCATGGAGTTTTTCTGCTTGAGACAATGCCTTAGTAATATTCCATGTGGGCAAGTGGTATGCCTTCCTTATCTAAGGTAGAAGTGCTACTAGGAAAGGTAAGGTAGAAAGCAGAACCAACAGGAGGCCTCTATCACAGGCCTCAGCCATTACCAACTTTAAGAGTACACATGGAATTAATGATCTAGAAACTGATTCATTAATATCACTCCTGCCCAAGTACTCCCTAGGAATATCTTCATTACTCCCCTGGGGATCATAAACCCCAGCATGAAAATTAGAGAAATTCTTGCAACTGTGTACCAGAAGATACGTACAAGAATCTTCATAATAGCAAAACCTAGAAACAGCCAAATGTCCATCAAAGAATGCATACACTGTGTTATATTCACCTGTAGAATATTACACAGCAGTGAAAATTAATGACTTACATCTATACTCAGTATCAGTGACTCTTAGAAACATTGAGTGAAATAAGCAAGTCTCAGAAAACTGTATCCAGAATTCCTTTTTTTTTAAATTCAAAAACAAAGAAACCATACAATACATTGTTGAGGGATATACACATATCTGACAAAATTATTTTTAAAAAGCAAAAAATGACACAGACAATTCAGGATAGTCACTCTGGAGATGAGCACATACAATATTGGTCATTTTGATTCTTGGATTGAGTGGTGTATTGATTGGTGTTCACTGTATTGTTTTGCTTCACAACCTGCATATATATTACATAGATTTTATTTTTTATTATTTTATTGTTACATATATTTTTATATCAAATATTACATTAAAGAGGAAAAAAGATTTCTTAAAACCATTCATTATATTTTAAAAAGTAATTAAATCACCTCAACTGCCACTAAAGAGGTACATAAAACATACCATGGAAATTACTATCTTTACATCAACCATAGGTGCAAAATAAATTTTTACTCAAATTTATCTTATGAAGACCACGTGAGATAAAGACTGAGCCAGTTAGCTGTGAGAGATGAACCCATCTGACACAGGGCTAGAGCAGAAGCCAAGGTGGCTACAAGCAAATTTAGCCATAAGCTAAAGTTACAAGGAAGCTGGTCAGTAAAGAGAAGGCAAAAAAGTAAAAGTCTGGTAACAAAGTATTAGCAAGGATGTGAGGAAATGGGTGTCCTCACTCAATACCAGTGAGAGTGAAAATTAGTACAACCACTTTGAGAGCTCCTGTGATATTTAGTTAAGCTGAAGATGCACATATCCTAATATCCAGCAACTCTACTACTAGGTGTATTTCCTAGAGAAACTTCCAAATGTGTGCACAAGCAGACAAGTACAAAGATGTTTATTGTAGGATTGTTTTGAGTCAAAAAACCAGAAACAACTTCAAAGTCCGTCGATTGGGAAATGGATAAATTATGGTATATTCATACAATTGGATTCTATACCAGCAATTAAAATGAATGAACCAAAGATAACACAATTATCCAATGCATTCGTATATAAGTCTCAAAATGTGATACTGATCAAAAAAAGCAAGTTGCAAAAAGACACATATCATTTAAAACCATTAAGATTTAAAACACATACCACCACATATTGTCTATGGATTCACTGTGAACCAACTATAAAATATGCAAGGGAATGATATACACAAATCTGAACACGGTGGCTACCTCTAGGGAAGGAGGGACAGGAACTCGGAGCGCCTCCAACATCTGCAATTTTATTTCTCAAAATAAAAAAGGATCCGAAGTAAATTTGGCAAAATAATTACATTTGTAAATCTGAGTCATGGGTTGGTGAGATTCCCCCTGTGTATTTTATATGTGAAATATTTCAGAAATTAAAAAGGAAAAGGGAAATTAGGCAAAAGTAAGAAAATTGAACAAATGAACAGAAAGACACACCAAAACACAGCCTTTGAGCGAAGAGCATGAACCTTTGAGCAAGAAGCAGCGTAGGAGGTGGATCTTTAATCGGTCTGAAGTTCCCTTCCCTGGGTATCCCTGTAATAAATCCCATTTCCCTTAGGATAAAACGCAAATTTCTTGCAATAAAAAATGTTCTAACTAGAGCTGTAACTATGAGAAAACTGCTGCCAAGGGAGGAGTAAAAATCTGTACGATGTCTACCTTGAGTCCCCTCGCCAGGATGTTGGGCAGAATCAAGAGATAATTTACGTGAACGCCATAAAACACTACATGAACCGCTAAGCATTATCAAGAACGCCCAGGCACAGCTTAGAACGTATTTGCCCAGTTGGCGTGTATGCGTATTTTGGAAGGAGTCTGCAATTGAAGGGCTTTGGGCGTCTACGGCGCTTCTGGAAAAGGCACTCCGCACTGGTACCAGCCAAAATTCACCTACGCCTTGGCTCAATTTTTGGCCCTTGGCTCCCCCCTCATTGTCCCCAGAATAGGCTGGCTCGACAGGCCACACCTGACGTCGTCAACACTACGGAGCAGCTGTCCAGACCCGCCTCCGTCTCCCCCTTCCCACTCGCGTCGGGGGAGGGAGGATGCTCCCGCGAGGAGGGAGGGGGGAGCGCTGGGTTGATTTTCCCACCCCCCGTCCGCTCCTGGGAGGGAAGCCGCCCCCGGACTCGACTGCCATTCTCACGAAAACAGGTGGCGCAGACGTAAGGCACACAAAACAGAGAACGGGGCGCGCACGAACGTTCACGAACACTCGCGAACGAAAACGCGCACAAGGGAGATCATACACTCGACAGGACCCAGGCGCGGCACGCGCGCAGGGACACGCGAGGACGCACACCGGGGCGGGAGATGCTCCAGGATGGGAGATGCTCCAGGACGGGGTCACAACTGCAGAAGCGGGGGACGCGCGCCCCCCGGCGTGGGACGGTGACACAAAGGGGGGCCGCCCACGCCGTCGCCAAGAACAGGCGCGACACAAAGAAGCCGGCAGTGGAAACACAGGCGCGTGCCGGCACGCCCGGGCCGAGGGACCCCTCGCCTCTCAAGGGTGTCACCCTCCAGACGAGAGTGCGCGGGCGGCAGGGGGATGCGCACACAAAGGGGCTACTCCCACCCTCGCACAGACGCCCGGAGGCGCCCAAGGGGGCTGAAGGGGCCCGTTAGATAAAGGTGACACACCCACTGGGGGCGACAAAGGCGGCCACACCCCCAGCGCACCGGCACCCCAACCCACGCAGACACACCGGGGGCATCACAGCGAGCGACGCGGGGCGACGCGCACACACTCACCACACACCCACGGAGGGGGTGTGGAGGGCCCCTCTCCCCGGGCATCTCGGCTGCAGCGCGATAAGGTGACACATCCGGGAGCCCCGCCGCGCGCCAGATGTGCACTCACCGGGGCCCGCCGCCCGCGAGCCTCGGACGCGGGCCGCCGCCGACGCCGCCGCCTCGGGCCCTCCACGTCAGCCAGCGGGCGGGCGGGAGCGGGCGGCGGCGCAGGCGACAAGAGCATCACGTGGGCAACGCACATGCGCAGCCGTGCAGCCCCGCCCTCTTCCGCGGCGGCGAGCAGAGCGATCCGGCAGTCCCCGGCGCTCGCGCGCTCCGGGACGGCAAGGGTCGCGGTGCGCCTGCGCCTGGGCGGGAGCGGAGGGGGCGGCCAGGGGGGCGCCTCGGACACCCGGCCTTTCCTTTAGTTTTTCCCTTTCTCGCCCTCGCGGAGGCTTTCTGGAAGGGGCCTGCGCGGGGGACCGGCGCTGAAGTGGCTGAGCTGTCGGGAGGGGCCTGAGTGGGCGCTTCGAGGACCCAAGGTCAAGGGCCTCCCCCACCCCCCAACCCTTGAATAGGAAACTGAAGCTCCCGCGAGAGGGCAGGGCCCGGTCCCGGGCGCCGTGGCCCAGACCTGGGGAGGCGCGCGTTCCCCGAGCCCGGCCCTGCCAAGCCCTTTCCGCGGGGGAGGCGAATCCTGCAGGGTGGGAGCGGCGTCCCTACTTTCCGTGCTCTCCCCTCCCCTCCGCTGCAGGGTGCGCGCGCTCTGGCGTGTGCGCGCACGCAAGGTCTGGGGCTCGTCCGCGCGTGCAAGCGGTGTGTGTTGGAGGTGTGTGCACAGGGTGGCGATGTGCATTGGTTTAGGCTAGGAAAAAAACTACAGAGGCTGTGCCCATAGCAGAGCGACGAGGCTACAACAGACCAGTGATGAAGGGGAGTAAATCACTGACGATGATTGTGTTTCTTTCCCACAGATTGTCTAAAGCCACAGGGAAAATGGTGGAAAATTCACCGTCGCCATTGCCAGAAAGAGCGATTTATGGCTTTGTTCTTTTCTTAAGCTCCCAATTTGGCTTCAGTAAGTACTTTCCTGATGGATGGCCAGAGCCTCTTTTCTCGTGTTCAAGGACAAGGATATTACTGCATTTGTTAGAATGTGCACATATGAGCTGTGATTGTTTCTACTTATGCCTCTTTCTAGGAAAACCTGAAGGGAACTTGTGTTTGGTATTTCATATGCCCGACACTAGCGTAAATAATCTCAACAAATATTTATACAGCACCAGACAGCAAAGTGAATAAAACCTGGTCCCTGTGGTCATAGTCTTCTGGACAAAACAGACAAAGGAATCTACAATTAACTGTGAAAAGAGCCATGAGAACCCAGTAGAGAAACATGAAATCAGACTGGGAAGCAGGGTTAGCTTTCTCCCCGACAATAAGAAGGAAGGCAATAAGAAGGAAGATGTGGGAAGGTTTTGAATGAAAGGTTTAGAGTGAGTAAGTTGGTGCAGGTGCAGCCTGTAGGAGCCAGGAAGCCAAGAGAAGTCATGTGCACTTTAGAGTCTTAGATCTGGCTTAGTTCCCGGAAGATCCTGTTTTAGATAAGGAAACCAGTGCTCACTGAGACACTACCGTGCCCAGGGTCACACAGCAGGCCCCACATCTCTCCTCTAAAGGATGTCGGAATTAAAAGGAATACAACAGGGAAAAAACTGGGTGCCCCCATCCAACTTTTTGGAATTTCGTGGAAACCAGGGAAGTGAGGGAGTGGTAGTGTCTCTGAACCCTGACTGCATTGGTAACAGCCAACCATGCTGTTGGCAAGGGTAGTGTATGGAGTAAAGAAGTTGTGACTTGAGTTCAAATCTTGACTCTTCCAGGGACTAGCTCTGTCACCTGGCACCATTTGCCCACGCTCTTGAACCTTCAGATTCTTCATCTGTAAAAGGGTGGTGATAATGTTTATTGAATGCTTATTATGTGCAAGACAGTCTTCTGAGGTAGGTATTGTTATTACTATCCTCATTTTACAGATGACGATCCAGAGGCATGGGGTTTTAGGAATGTGCCCAGGGTACCCACTCAGAAACTGATAGAACTGGAATTTGAACCCAGACACTGGGTTGACTTCACTGTGCTGCCTTTTAGAGCTGTTGTGAGGATTAATTGCTTGATTCATGCAAAGTGCTTAAAACAATACAAAAGATTGATAAGTACTCAATAAATGTTGGCTGCTACTTCAGTGTTACCATTGTTTAAATCCCTGTTCTGTAGGGTATTTGAAAGATTAGAAACTATACGAATAAATAGAGGCAATGACTTTAAGACTTAAATCCAGTAACACCCACTATTTTTAACCTTTTGAGGAAACACCATACTGTTTTCCAGAGTGGCTGCACCAGTTTGCATTCCCACCAACAGTGCAAGAGGGCTCCCCTTTCTCCATGTCGTCGCCAACACCTGTTGTATCTTGTGTTGTTAATTTTAGCCATTCTGACAGGTGGGAGGTGGTATCTCATTATAGTTTTGATTTGTATTTCCCTGATGATGAGTGATGTTGAGCGTCTTTTCACATGTCTATTGGCCATCTGTAGTCTTCTTTGGAAAAATGTCTTCTGCCCATTTTTTAAATTGGGTTATTTGTTTTTCGGGTGTTGAGTTCTATCAGTTCTTTTTATGTTTTCGATACTAACCCTTTACCAGATATGTCATTTGCAAATGTCTTCTCCCATTCAGTAGGTTGCCTTTTAGTTTTGGGTTTTTTTTAAGATTTTATTTTATTTATTTGACAGAGAGAGACACAGCGAGAGAGGAAACACAAGCAGGGGGAGTGGGAGAGGGAGAAGCAGGTTTCCCGCTGAGCAGGGAGCCCGATGCGGGGCTCGATCCCAGGACCCTGGGATCATGACCTGAGCCGAAGGCAGCCGCTTAACCGACTGAGCCACCCAGGTGCCCCTGCCTTTTAGTTTTGTTGATTGTTTCCTTCACTGTGCAGAAACTTTTTATTTTGATGACGTCCAATACTTTATTTCTGCTTTTGTTTCCCTGGCCTCCGGAGACATATCTAGTAAGAAGTAGTTATGGCCCACAACCAAAAGTTAATGCTACAAATTTTTTGAGTGCTTACCACATGCTAGGCACTGTTACAGGCAAAGAAGGAGCAAAATATTTAAAAATGTCCTGCTCTGAGAGGGTTTTCATTCTAGTAGGAGGAGATAGCTAATGAACAAATTAAATAAGTAATACATATATGATAACATGTACCATGGGGAAAAATTAAAGGAGGATAAGGAACAGGAGGCGGTTGCTGTTTTAAAGACAGCAGTCTGGAAGTGCCTCACTGAGAGATGAGATTTAATCACAGACATGAAAAGTGCAAGTTAGCCATGGAGCAGTCTGGGGAAAGGGCTTCCCAGACAGAATGGATGGTACAGAAGCCTTTAGAAGAGTATGCCTGTGGATTCAAGGAACAGGTGGAGGTCAGTAGGTTGAAGTCTGAGAAGGTGAGGCAAGAAGTAGTAGGATAGAGGTCAGAGACCATATGCAGCAGTTATGATAAAACTAGGTAGTAGGTGCAGGAGGGTTACAGGATTCTCTCTACGTTTAAATATTTACTGAATTTTTTCAAAAACAAGGCAGTTTTCTTAGTCTGCTCAGGCCACTGTAACAAAATGCCGTAGACTGGGAGGCTTAAACAATAGACATTTCTCATGGTTCTGGAAGCTGGGAAGTGTAAGGTCAGGGTGCCAGCATGGTTGGGTTCTTGGTGAAGACCTTCTTCCTTGTTTGCAGACAACCACCTTCTTGCTGTGTCCTTACATAGTAGAGAGTAAAAGGAAGCCCTGGTCTCTGACTTTCCTTAGATGGGCACTAATCTCGTCATGCAGCCCCACCCTCATGACCTTCTCTAAACCTAACTACCTCCCAAAGGCCCTACCTCCAAATACCACCACACCGGGGATTCGAGCTTCAACATATGAATTTGGGGGACATGCAAACACTCGGTTCATAACAGTAATTATGGATTTTGATGAAAGCTTTGAAGGAAATAGAAGGAAGTGATAGGGAGTAAGGAGAGTGTGGTGGGTGGGACATAGTTGGAGTATCAAGTGATGGGGAATGCCTCATTTAAGAAGGTAATATTTGAGCTAAGACATGATGGAAGAGAAGGAGTCATTCATTGAAAGAGTCAAAGGAAGAACATTCTGGGCAGACAGCGCTCACTGTAAGTGCAGTGGCCCTGAGACACTGTCTGGAGCTAGAGCATAGTGCACCAGGACTAGAAGTCGGAGAAGTGGGCAGAACATTTAAGTCCTTGCAAGCCATGGTAAGGAGTTTGGATTTTATTCTAAAGGTATTTAATTTATTCTAAGGGTTTGGGCAAGTCAAGTGATCTGGTCAAATTTATGTTTTTGGAAGATCATTCGTTGCTGTGTGGAAAAGGACTGCTCAGATATTCTGTCCTCAGGCTTGAAAAAAAAATTCTTTTTGACAGAGCAGGGGAGGCGCAGAGGGAGAGAATCTTAAGCAGGTTCCACACCCAGCGAGGAGCCAATCCCACCACCCTGAGATCATGATCTGAGCCTAAATCAGGAGTCAGATGCTTAACCCGCTGAGCCCCTCAGGCGCCCCAAGGCTTGAAATTTCTAGATACCCGCTCTAAAAACCTGGGAGCCGTTCTTCACTTAACAGTCTTTCTCCTCCTCTTTCCTCCGCACCTGCCACTGAATCTGGCAGGCTTCTTACTGTCTCTGCCACAGATACGTCCTGCACACAACCATCCCAGCTCTCTTTGGATCACGGCAGGGAACACCATTTTCTCTTATTTACTTCTGTCCTCGTTCATAGGCCCCAACTGTATATCTTTTTAATCTGGCTAATCCCCTGACTCCTCTGCTTAAGACCTCTGGTTGGGGTAGGAATGGTTATTTCTCTTTGTAGTTTGCTGTGTCTTTAAAGTTAAAAACAAACAGTTCTCCCCATTGCCTGCAGCATAAAGTCCAAGTTCCTTGTACAACATATTTCATGATCTGGGCCCTGTTTGCATTTCCAGCTTTATTTCTCAGCATTCACAGCCTCACGCTTTATGCCGCATTCACTCTAAACCGCTTAAAGTTACCCCCAGATACATCACATCCCTCCTCACTTGTGTTTTTACTAATG